GCTGTCTCCTTTGGCATATTCTTTCCCTGAAGCAAACAAGATAGAAACATGAAGGATAAAAACAGTAAAAAAGGAGCTCACGTTTGTGGGAGCTGGGGACCCCTCTAAGAAGATAGACTTCATAACTCTGTGCCTCAGTTTCCTCATCTGTGAAATGGTACAGCAATTTGGATTTTAGGCATGAATGTGAAGGTAATGTGCAAAGGTTTGTGGGAAAATGGAACTAAAAGATAAGTTCATTTTGGTGTAAATGAATTTTGAAATCTATGTGTTCTGTCACAATATGCATTTTCTGTAACTCTTTGAAAGTCTCTTGTCTATACAAAATTTGCACCAAAATGAACTTTTCATTCTGTTTTTCCATGAACTTTTTGAAGTGTGCTTATGTATATATAAAACGAGAGAATGTGTGCCAAGCCTGACACAGAACAGTGGTGCTGTGATTGTTTGCTACTCAAGAAATGTTTGTGGTGTAACAAAAGGCGGGGGTGATGGAGTGAGTTAAATAGCCAACGAGAGAGAGAGAGAGAGAGAGGGAGGGAGGAAGCAGGTGAACAGATGAGTAAATCAAAGAGTGAGCAGAGAATGGATAAGAAAAAAAAACCCACTCCAAATAAAATTAGGTAGAAGACTTCACAAAAGAGGATTTCCAAATGGCCAATACATACAGGAAAGACACTCAAATGATCATTAGTCATTAAGGGAAAAGCAAGTTCAAACCATGATGAGATATCACTCATATCCACTGAGATTTAAGAAACACCTGGTGAGAATACAAAGGAAATAAAACTCTTCTAGACTGCTGGTGGGAATGGAAAACAGTATAACCCGTATGGTCATTTTTCATATTCATAAAATTATACAGACATTTACCCTAGGACCCAGCCATTCAACTCCTACATATAAGAGAACCTCAAAATATTCATGGAAAAATGCATGTTATGAAAACAACTATGCATGGATTTCCAAAAAAAAATTTTTGCACCCCAAATTACTTATCTCTTGATTGTGTTTTCCATGAACTTTTGGAAGGACTTTCATATTGAACCAAGAGGAATGAAAGCAGATGTGCACTCACACAGCAGCTCCACTCAGGAGGCCAAGAAGGAGTAGTGATTGTAACAGCATATGACAGGGAAAATAAAATCCCCATCAGCGCCTGTGGAGTCAAATGAACATCTGGGGCCGGCACCATGGTGCAGTAGGCTAATCCTCCGCCTGTGGCACCAGCATCCCATATGGGTGCCGGTTCTAGTCCTGGCTGCCCCTCTTCCAATCCAGCTCTCTGCTGTGGCCTGGGAAAGCAGTAGAAGATGGCCCAAGTCCTTGGGCCCCTGCACCCACATGGGAGACCAGGAAGAAGCACCTGGCTCCTGGCTTTGGATTGGTGCAGCTCTGGCCATTGTGGCCATTTGGGGAGTGAACCAGTGGACGGAAGACCTCTCTCTGCCTCTCCTCTCTTCTGTGTAACTCTGACTTTCAAATAAATAAATAAAATTAAAAAAAACAAATGAACATCTATACTTTGAAAGCTCTTTATGAAATAAGAATGAATGAAACTAAAATGAATTTATATGTAAACTGACTTGGAAGGAGACTTAAGCCAGGATTTGGCGTAGCTAATAGAGTTTGGGGAAACCTGGAAAACCAGGCTGTGTCGCCTCTGCTCTCACACCATAACAATCAACACAGAAGGCTTCTGTGACCACAGCCCCCATCCCCAGATATGTGGAGACTTCTCCCTGCTAGCAAGCAAGCAAGGCTGTAGCAAGGGACGGCGAGTGGGTTTCCTCTATTCCCATTCAATGCAGACCCTGTCAGAGCCCTCAGACAGGTAGAGGGCTCAGTCCCCAACACTGCACTCCCTGCCCCTTGAGATGCCAATCACTAGACCCAAGTAGCTTGACCTGTGCGTCTGGCCCCATTCGTCATAAACTGGGGTCTCCCCAGTCTCTTTCTTAGGCTTGATGAATGTGCTTGAATGGCTCACAAAACTCGGGGAAACACACTCTTGAAGTTCCCAGTTCATTAGCAAGCACACAGAGGAAGAGATGTATAGGGCGAGCGATGAGAGAAGGGTATGGATGTTATTTGGAAGCTCTGAAGCCGGTCTTTTGGGGTTTTTATGGAGGTTTCGTTATACATGCACACTTGCTAATAGACTTGGTGGGGAAACCCAGCCTGGCTTGCCCAAGACTCTTCAGCACTCTTTCCTTGAGGGCATGGGGCAGGACCCCTCTGGCATGAGAGAGGCTTATGACCTGCTCTCTGATCTTGGGGAGTTATAACCAGGAATTGTGGATGAAAACACTCTCATATAATGTAAATGTATCGTTAACTACCCAAGTGGTTTGGTTTTTGAGTCATGGGCCCATTACATGCAACAACGTTAAAGCTTTCAAAATAAATTAGTGGTAGGCCATCTGGTGGGTGGTTAAAAACCCAAATCAACTCCCGCCTAGAAAAGCATCCCCCCCAACCCCACACCCCGAAAGCACAAGAAAGAACTCAGGACTCACATAGTTGTGATAAGAAGGCTTGATCTCCAAGAAGGACCTCATGGTAGAGGCTGAACCAGCCCTCAATCACCAGGTGAATGAACGCACACACTGCAAACCAGCACAGGGACAGTCGCCGCCAAGTCCCCAGTGGGACGATGGCAGCACGGGCCGACAACAGCCACGTGATCACAACCAGAACCCCAGAGACGGAGAAGAGGCCAGCCAGGATATGCCAGGTGGGGCGGTCATTAGGTACAAAGTTGTCCAGCCTCAGGTGTCGAGGCCAATACGGATGCAAGGGGCCGGCGTTGGTGGTCATCATGCTTTGGGGGCTGATGGCTGTGTGCAGATAATCAGGGAGGAGAAAAGCAGAACAGAAAAACCTGGACAAATAGAAAACACAAAATGAAATAAAATCAAAGCCAAAATAGCTTATTACCATAGAAATGCAAATAGACCGGATTTATCCCTGAACAGACTGTGAGTCTGGATTAAAAATAACCTAAATATATGCTGTTTTAAGAACACAACTAAAATGAAAGACCAGAGAAAGACCGAAAACTTGTTCCAGCCCTTTTGCAGTCCTATTAAGATGTAGCAGAGGACAGACATTTGGCTAAGCAGTTAAGACACCTGCATTCCATATCAGAGTGCCTGGGTTCGAGTCCCCACTCCTGCTTCTGATCCAGCCTCATGCTAATGCACACCCTGGGAGGCAGCAGGTGATGGCCCAAGTACTTGGGTCCCTGCCACCCACATTAAAAAGCTGGATTGAGTTCCTAGCTCTTGGCTTTGGCCTGACCCAGCCCTGACTGTTGCTGGGATTCAGGGAGTGACCCAGTGTTTAGAAGATATTTCTCTGTCTCTCCGCCTTCTGGATAAAATAAAAACACAAAATTTAAAAAAGTTTCAGTGAAAGAATTAAAACAAAACAGGAAACAGGAGGCCTAGCCCCTGGCTTCAGGAGGTCACAGTTTGGAGGCAGCCTTGGAACCCAGAGCTGGTCCCAGACCTCAGAGGTCCGAGGATCAAGGCCACTTCCTAACCCTCTGGTCCCGGTTTGGTGGGCGACACAGGAAGCAGGCCAGATCCCACGGCAAGGATCAGCCTCTAGCACCTTTCCTTGCAAAGCTACTCCTCGCCTTTAGTCCTGGGAAGTGCAGCTGGGGGGCGTAAGCGAGATTACCAATTGGGACCACAACTCTGAGGCCGGGAGCTCAGAAAGCCTGAGTCTCTCCCACAAAGCAAACAAGGCCGCCAACCTGCACCTGCGAACACCAAAGTCTGGGGTCTCGCAAGGGCGCCAAGGAGAAAAAAGAGGGCCAATTAGGGAGCGCACCAATCAGAGCTAGAACCCTCTGGTCCAGCGGCTCAATGAGAAGGCGGACCCGCTGTAGTCCGGACAACCGCGCAGCAGCCGGATCCCGCGCAGGCGCAAGGGGTGGTGGTGGGGAAAGGGTCTGGCAGGTGGGAGCTAGGAAATGGAGGAGCAAGCCTGGCGGAGGGCACTCACCCAGCCTGGAGACGGCAGCGGCCGCTTCTGCGGGCTCCGAGCTCCCTCCCGGCGAGCGAGCTCGCAGGTTCCGCGGCGTTGCTTCTCGGGGCCGTCCCCTCAAGGGCTTCCCCACCCAACGGAGCGGGCCAATGGAGAGGCGGGGAAGGCGGCCAGTGCGTCTCCTAACCAATGGGAGCGGCCGGCCCCGTCCTCGCGCGTGGTGCCATTTTTGTCTTTGGCTGAGACCGAGTCAGGAGCGGGATGGAGGCGGGGACAGGACCTGGTGGGCTGGTCAATTCGCCGAGCGCAGTCCTTTCAACTCTGCCCTTGTTTTCTACACTGAGCAACCCATCAGTTCCCAGATTAATGCAAGGAAACTTAATATTACAGGCAGATCACATACATCCGGTACACTGCAGCCCGCCAAGTCGTTCAGCACTCAGAACTCTGTCCGAATACCAGCAGTCATCCTCACCTCTCCCGACTTGAAGTCAGAAAACCAATCAGATCCCAGGCCCTTCAGCCCCGCTGACCAATCGGCATGGAGACTCAAATGTGCTAATTCTAAAGAAACAATCAGAATGCCATAACCTTAAACCAGTGGGCACCCAGACTGAGCAATCGGTCAGAATCCAACCCCATCCTAGCCCTGGCATCCAGTTACAGCCTACAAGACTCAGTCCTCTAAGGACCAATATCTTACTTTCCCTCTTCCCTGCCCCAGTCTGAATGAGGATCTCTGTTTTTCACACCAGTTAGTATCAAGCCTCTCTGATATCCACTGGCACCACCTGTCCCCACGCCACTCAAATCAAACAGGATCAGGACTTGTCCATCCTCAGGCTCATCATCCAACCATGAAAAATCACAAATTAACCACGAACCAATTACAGTCTGCTCCCTCTTCATGGCTTCCGGCTCCCAGCCCTTTATCCATGCTGCTCCCCTCCCACCCCGCCCCTTCCTTACTGCTATTCCCCTCTGAGCAGTGAAGAAAGAGCCTGTTGATGTTGCCTACTTTTATTTGACAATAACAAACTGAATATAAAAAAGGAGAAGGTAGGCGGGGAGGCCCTGGATCTCCCCCTCTTTGCTTTCCCAAGTATCCCCCACCCCTAGGCCCCAGCAGGGACCAGCCCCCTGCCCGCCTTGTGGTGTGGTGGGGATTGACAGGCATGGGAATGGTGTGTGTGTGGGTGTGTGTGTGTGTGTGTAGGGGTGTTGGGGATCATGGGTGGAGTGGGGTCAAGGGAGTAGAGAGGGCCTTCCCTCATCCTCCATCGGAGCTGGCACCCCAAGGAGGGGTCTTGAGGGTGCTAAGAGGATTGTATGCCTTAGCCTATGAGACGGTAGAAGATCCAGCATCCGAAAGTGACCCAGTGACTGGCCCAGCTGAGCTCTGACCACTTGTGGACAGTGTACGCCATGCCGTAGCCCTGTGGGAGAGAAAGATCATGGTTCCACTCAGCAAGGACAGACAGGGTCTCAGCAAAACCCATCCTTTGCCCAGGGACATTTCTGTGACCCATAGTAGCCTAGGTAAGGCCCCCTAGAAGGACCTGGGTGCATCTGAAACGTGACCACACATAGTTTTTGCTTTCTTCTTTAAAAATCATTTTCAAAAGAAGACAAGTCAATCCTACTCTCTGACCCGTCATCTCCCTAATATATAAAGAGCTCCTAGAAATCGTTTTTTTTTTTTTTTTTAAAGGGCAAAAATTACCAAAGGCGTAGTAGGGCATCCATCCCACTAATGGGGGAAACAAATGGTTCATCAACAAGATGCTCAGCCTCGCTCATAATCTCGCTCCTACAGAACCAGCGAACGTGTCCAGGAGCTTTGAGAGGCATCCTGTGTCAGCGATTGCACAAGCCTGTTCACACGTTGTGCAAAGGAATTTGCAATAGGGGAGGACCGGCAATCACCTGAGTGCGCACTCTAAGGGACAACTTAAGGTGTGCTACAGCCTCACAGTGAAAAAAAAGAACAAGGATGTTCCATAAGCTGACATGGAAGATTTCCAAGAACTGCAGGACAATTATCACACATGTGTTACCTTTGGGGTCAACACAGGACGAGAGGAATTAATTAATATAAATGAATTAATTTTATATTTGCTTGATATGCTTAAATTTTGGGAAGATATTTTTATAAAATGAATAAAAGTGATTACCCGTAAAAGGGCAGGGGGTAGCGCATGGGGGCAACATTGTTTTCTGAGTATCTGGAATATTGTTTGTTTTTTGAATCATGTAATATGCATTAACTATTTTAAATATTTTAATAAAAATGGACCCAAAGTTTATTTCAAGAGAAGCAACACTCGGATTTGCACACTCAACCTGAATAGAATTAAGGCAAAATAAAGTTTTAATTTTCAATTAAAAATTAAAAACTTAACCAGAGGTGAAGCAAATCATGGATTCTGCGAGAGTCATATGAATAAACTGTACTTTTATTTTATTTTATTTTTATTTTATTTTTTGCCAGGCAGAGTTAGACAGTGAGAGAGAGAGAGAGAGAGAGAGAGAGTTGTAGACAGTGAGAGAGTGACAGAGAGAAAGGTCTTCCTTCAGTTGGTTCACTCCCCTAATGGCCGCCACGGCCGGCGCTGTGCTGATCCGAAGCCAGGAGCCAGGAGCTTCCTTCTGGTCTCCCATGCGGGTGCAGGGCCCAAGCACTTGGGCCATCCTCCACTGCCTTCCTGGGCCACAGCAGAGAGCTGGACTGGAAGAGGAGCAACTGGGACTAGTACCCGGAGCCCCAACTGGGACTAGAACCCGGGGTGCCGGCGCTGCAGGCGGATTGGTCAAGTGAGCCATGGCGCCGGCCTGAACAGTACTTTTTTTTTTGTTTTGTTTATTTGAACTGTACTTTTAAAAGTATTGTTAGGCGGGCTGGCGCTGTGGCACACCAGGTTAACACCCTGGCCTGAAGCGCCGGCACCCCATATGGGCGCCGGTTCTAGTTCCGGCTGCTCCACTTCCGATCCAGCTCTCTGCTATGGCCTGGGATAGCAGTGGAGGATGGCCCGAGTCCTTGGGCCCCTGCACCTGCGTGGGAGACCCAGAGGAGGCTCCTGGCTCCTGGCTTCTGATCGGTGCGGCCAATTGGGGAGTGAACCATCGGATGGAAGACCTTTCTCTCTCTGCCTCTCCTCTCTATGTGTAACTCTGACTCTCAAGTAAAAAAAAAAAAAAAAAAAAAAAAAAAAAAAAAAAAAAAAAAAAAGTATTGTTAGGGGCCAGCGCTGTGGCGCGGTAGGTTAATCCTCCACCTGTGCTGTCAGCATCCCATATGGGCGCCGGTTCTAATCCCGGCCGCTCCTCTTCCAGTCCAGCTCTCTGTTGTGGCCTGGGAAAGCAGAAGAAGATGGCCCAAGCACTTGGGCCCCTGCACCCACATGGGAGACCAGAAAGAAGCACCTGGCTCCTGGCTTTGGATCGGTGCAGCTCCGACCATTGTGGCCATTGGGGAGTGAACCAACGGGCAGAAGACCTTTTTTCTGTTTCTCCCTCTCACTGTCTGTAACTCTGCCTATCAAATAAATAAATAAATAAATACAATCGTTTAAAAAAGTATTCTTAGCCTAAAAAGGAGGACGATCTGGAATTTGCACACTTGATGAGCAAAAATAGTGTAGAGATTTTGACGTACAAATTTAAAGTAGCAGAATCCAGAGTTTGCACCCTCAACCTGAGTCAAATAGAACTTTTTTAAAAAAGAAAGAAATTTTGCCAATTCTTCCTAAGCGAAAATGAAATAAAATATGAGGATATTTCAAAAAGTGTGTGGAAAAATGGGATTAAAATGCATTTTATTTTGGTGCAAAAACGTTGTGCAATCCATGTACAGTTTTTTTTTCATAATATGCATTTTCCACAAACTTTCTGAAGTCCCCTCATACTTAATTTACAAGAAGGAAAGCCTGGATTTTGCACTCCCTCTCTATTGGATGAATCCCATAAGGAGAACGAGTAAACAGATTTTGCTCACTTCTCCCAAATAGAATACCCTGGCAGTGTGACTCAACCAGAGGGACAACAGGAAGGAGGAGCATCGTGCACTGGCTGAGAGACCCAATCCCAGGGTCCCAGGAGCTCCAGCCTCCACCTCCCCACCTTGGTCTTCATGGTCCCCAAGAGCCAGTAGCGCCATCCCTGATATGTCCCCCTGTCCAGGGCCCCACCTCACCTGCTCCTCTGTGGTGTCGTCCACATCAACATCAAACAGAGAGCCAAGGTAGGCCAGGTGGAAGATGGCCAGGGCCCCAAAGAGCAAGTTTAGGCCTCGAACCCCCACACCCTGTGGGGGACAGATTGGATACACTTGGTGGCTGAATGATAGACTGCCCCTCCCTCCAGCTGCAGAGGGAGCACACATGAGCACGCGCACGCGCGCACGCACACACACACACACACACACACACACACACGGTGAGAGTGAGTTCCAGGAATGCAGGTGCCCGGGGGGAAGGATGATTCAGGAAACCTGTTAGGGATGCTCAAAGGTCCCCAAGAGTGAGGGTGCTGTTATCAATGAGGGTGTCAGGGTCAGGTTCGGGGGAGAGGCACGTGTTCAGGCAGAGGAGCAAGAGCCGTGGGGGCTGGCAGCTGCGGGGTATGGGGATGACCTCTGATTGTCAGGTGGGACACAAATGCGAAGTGGTCTGTATTTTTTTATGGCAAACAGGAAGAACAAAACAAAACAAAAACCCATCCCCAAATGACCTAGAGGGCTCATGCCTCCCACTACGCCACAGGGGCCCAAACTTGGAGGCCGGTGTTACTCTGGGTGTTCCTGTTGCCTGGGGTGCTCCCCTCAATAAAACAACTCAGAAGTCAGCAGGAAGGCTTCCCAGACTGACCTCCCTGGTGAACTTATTTACTTACTCACTTACTGGACGGGGGAGGGGAGGGGGAAGCGGGAGGAGGAAAGGGAGAGAGAGAGATAGCAGATCTTATCGCGCTAGTTAACTCCCCAAACACCTGCAACAAGCAGGGCTGGGCTGGCTGGGCTGAAACCAGGAGCCAGAAGTCAATCCAAGTGTCCCATGTGGGTGATAGGGGCCCAAGTACTTGGACCGTGGCTGCCGCCTCCAGCTAGAGTCAAGGGCAGAGCAGGGTATGGAACTCAGGGACTCACTTAGGAGATGTGGCCATCTCGTCTTAGCCACTGAGCCAAACCTCCACCCCTGACCTTCCTGTTCAAAACAGAAGCCCTCCTATCCATCCTCCCCTTTCTTCCATGTACTTTCTCGAGCTCTCCTCCACAGAACAAACTAGTATTAGAATTCACAGGAGGGGTGGCGCTGTGGCCTGCAGTGCTGGCACCCCATATGGGCACTGGTTCGAGTCCGGCTGCTCCACTTCTGATCCAGCTCTCTGCTATGGCCTGGGAAAGCCATGGAAGATGCTCCAAATCCTTGGGCCCCTGCACCCACGTGGGAGACCCAGAGGAAGCTCTTGGCACAGCTCTGGCTGTTGCAGCCATTTGGGGAGTGAACCAGTGGATGGAAGACATCTCTCTCTCCCTCTGCCTCTCCTTCTCTGTGTAACTCTGACTTTCAAGTAAATAAATAAATCTTTTTTTAAAAAAAGAATTTACGAACTTCCTATGTTCACTGTCTTTCCTGTTAAGATGTTTGTCTCACAGGGCTGGGACTTGAGCCTGTTTTGTTCACAACTGAGTCTCCAGCACCTAGAAAAGTGCCTGGAACCAGCAGGTGCTCAGCGCATGCTCCCTGGAGGAATGAATGCCCAGTATGTGGATGACAGCAGGTGCCCAGTGAATGGAAGCTACTGAGTAGAGGTGAGGTTATGGGGATGGCTCAGACATGAGGAGAGGAAGCTGGGTAGCTTGAGACAGACGCAAGATGGAAACAGAAGCAATGTTACTGAGGGGCCATGTGGGGCACAAAGTGGCCCCAGGCTGAGCCCTCACCAAGCGATGCCGGTGTGAACAGTCAGGCGGGCACCGCTTAGACAAGACGCAGGCACTGAGGATCCGAGCTAGGCGCTTCCGGAGGACTATGGTGGGGGGTGGGGTGGGGAGCGAAGGGCCTCAGGTTAGCCTCAGAGGGCGGTGACTCCAGCCACACTCCCTCCAGCCCACCTCCACCCCCTCCCCCCACCATCCCTGCGCTCACGCTGCTCACTCACCGTGTTCCACGTAGGTGATAAAGGCCAGGGACAGCAGTACTGCGGCCAGGTGGAAGCTGAAGCCCTGGTTGGGGAGGGGGCGGGGAGGGAGGTCCGGGGGAGGGGCAGTGAGGCGAGTGAAGAGGAGGCCACCCCCTCCCAGCTTTCACCCTGATCCCCCTCGGCCCCGCTCACGTGCAGGAGGGCACTGGCTGCGTAGGTGACCAGCACCGCTGAGAAGGTCCCTAGGCGGAGAGCATTCTTGAAAACATCTGGAGAGGAAGATGGAGATGAAGATTTCCCTGCCACTCCCAGAGGGCCTCAGGCGGGGCTAGGGAACCCCCAGGATAAAGCCCTGATGCGGCTCCCAGCCTCACTTGCCCTGAGGTGGCTTCCCTCCCGACCTGCTCCTCCCAAGTTCAGTCAATGTTAACTCTATTCTTCCACTTCCTCAGGGCAAAAATCTTGGAGTCACCCTCCCCCCTCCCCCCACTCCCATATCCAGACTCTGAAGCAATCATGTCAGTTCCACCTGCTGCAGAATTTATCCAGGATCTGACCTCTCCTCTCCATGTGCACTGTGGCCAGCATCGTCACTAGCCTGGATTCCTGCAGAGGCCTCCTTGCTGCTTCTGTCCTCAGAGCAGCCAGCGGGATCCTGTTACAACCCACATCAGCCCAACGACCCTCCTCTGCTCGGAGCCTAGCTGTGGCTCCCATCTCAGAAAACAAAAAAAAGTCAATGTCCTGCTTGTAGTCCACAAGGCTCTACACGACCTCACTTACCTTCCCTCCTATCCCTGGTCCCCTTGCTCACTCTATGCCTGCCCTACTGACCTTGCTGTTACACACAGCAAGCAAGCTCCTACCTCGGGGCCTTCGCACCTGCTGTTCCCTCCATCTGTCGCTCTTCTCTCCATCCTAGCTGCATTCCTTGCTCCCTCACCTGCCTCAGGTCTTTGCTCAGATGTCAAGTCCTCAGTGAGACTTGCCCTAACTAAATTCATTTAAATTTGCCACCATTGCCCCCACTCCTGCCAGCACTCCTAGATCAATTTTACCTGCTCTTAGTTGCTTTTTTTTTTTACCATCACCACCAATCACCACCTGAACGAGTATGCATTTGTTCTCTCATTTATGATCTGCTCTCCCCATGCCTCCACCGCCCAAAATGCAAGTTCCACCAGGACAGAGATGTGTTTGGTCCCTGCTGCATCTCCAGTGGCTAGTATACAGTAGGTGCCCAGTCAGTGTTGGAAAGGGCCTAGGTTACCAGCTGCCCTGGAGTGGTGACTTGGTGACTCACAGTTATTCAGCCAATAAGACATAGGCAGGTTCCAGCTCGTGACAACCTCCACCATTGACCGTGGCAGCTCCACATTTATTGGCTTGGACACCGTCAGGTCCCTGTGGGCAAAAGAGACATGCCAACCACATTGGCATCTCAACCCATCTAACTGCCACACTTTTGTCTGGGCCATTCCTTCCCCCGCCGGGAGCACCCCCTTCCTCCCTGCATCTCCTGTAGGCAGTACCCTGGGGGGGGAAGGGGACCCCCAAGCCCTCCCCACCATTCCAGATGATCCTTCTCCTCGGTGAAGCCAGCCCCTGCCAACGTGGCCGTGGCCTCGGACAGAAAGCCCACAAAATAGTTGCTGAAGTGGAAGGAGACGGCACTCTCATAGGCTCGCAGCCACCTGGGGAGGAAGGGGCAAGAGAGAGGGGGCATGATGCCCATGCCCTGGAGTGACCCCCCCTACCACGTGGCAGCATCCCCAGCTCTGCCCCTGTAGACTCACCTTACCATGGTGCCCCTAGGGTCAGGAAGGCAGCAGAGAAGAAAGAACAGAGAGTCAGAGAGAGGCCATGGAGGCTGGCCTGAGTTAGCCACAGACAAGACAGACAGAAATGCGGTGGCAAAAATGGGTAGACCATGAGGGTCACACACAGACACGCATCGCCCGGCTGTTAGTCTCATGCGGCTCAAACAGATGCCTGTGTGGTCCTACAATACGGCATGGCCCTGCAGCCTTGTACGGCCAGCCAGCCCCGGCTCGGGCCAGGCCCAGTCTTGCAGCCCTGCACCCTCGAACAGCCACACAGCCAGACACAAAGACCTCGCAGCTCTCTGACCTGCCTCAGGGACCATAAGACAGTCGAAAAAGCCTGTCGTGAGCACCGAGATCGTGAAACACCAGTACACACGCACACACTCTGTCGGTTGTACAATCAGACATGGTGAAAAACAGGCAGCATCTCGCCCTGGAAAAAGCATCGGTTCAGAAATTAGTCCTGGGATTCGTGCCGGGCTCTTTGGCTGGGTGACACCAGTCAAGTCCCTTGACCTTTGGGAGACTCATTCAGCATCGCATATAACCGGCAGCCGTGAGTAGGGAATCAGAGCAGAAGCAGACGGTTGGTTCTGCCGATAGGTACAGGGACTTAGTCGGTCATGGCCCCAGAGCAGGACATCACCAAGCAGTCAGAGAAGGCACACACACACACAGCAGGGTCTATCACAGACAGCTATTCGACAAGCCACGGTCAGACCCATTCCTGGCCAGAGTTCTAGGCACACCAGCTTTGGCCACGCAGATTTATGTTACCCAGGGATAGCCACATATCCCTTCATTGACAGTGGCACAGCTAACCCACCAGAACTCAGGGTCTCACATTCAGGGCATCAGGGGCCAACAGGCGGCCAACCCGCACATCTCTCCCTCTAGCCAGAGTCACAGACAGGTTAGTCACTTGTCCCTCCCCCATTACGGTCACGTAACTGTTTCCATGGTGAAACAGCTGAACAGATGGACAGCCAGCCACACAAAATGTGTCGCAATGTCAGTCACACACGGAGTCACAGAGCCAAACAGGCAGCCACCGAGAGACACTCAGTGTCCTTTTAGTCATGGGGCAGGGGTAGACATATGGACAGACTCAGACTTCCAGAAGCCATTGGTCATAGGCTCTGGTCCCCATCCCCCAGGCAGCTCCACTTGCCCTCAGCATCTGCCCTCATTTACCTGGCTTTGCGTTTCTTGCTGTAGTAATAGAAGACAGACAGAAGCATTAAGAGACAGGCTCAGAGTTGGGGAGACCCCAGATCACTACCCAACCCCCTGACTGCCGGGCAGGGGCCTCAAAGGCTGTGCTCACTTGCGAAGGAGACGGTCACCATCAAGGGGAATGAAGTATGGGAAGAGGTAGGGGCCCACGCAAGTGGACAGCACAAGGCACAGCAGGGCCAGCGCCAGGCTCCGGGCCACCTTTTGCAGCCATCGGCGGCTCTGTGGGGTTGGGGGGAGATCAAGACTCTGTGAGCATCACCCCCTGGAAGCTCCCACGGTCCCTGCCCACCTGTCCACCCAGGACCTCACCAGTGGGCGGCCTTGGACAGCCTGTAGGTAGCTGTGGAAGGATATCCAGGGCCCAAAGACGATGGTGCCCACGAAGTAGAGGTAGCCCATGAACTCCACAGGCGAGGGCACTGCACCCACCTCGCCCCGGTCCAGGTCGAAGCCCAGAGACACCGCCTTCATGGCCACGATCATCTGGGCCCCTATGTGTGGGATCCATGGTCAAGTGGAAGGGCACAGAGCAGGTCAGCAGCAGGTGAGGGGCGGTTAGGGGGAAGGGGGTACAATGATGGCTAGATGGGCACAGGTCAGAGAGGCAGGTGGGGAAGTGGACCCAGGACAGGCAGGCGCCCTTAGCCAAGAGCTCAGGCCCAAAAGTGAGATGGGCCAGACAGACTCAGGGGGAGAAAGCGTGGTAGAGACAGACACAGATGCTAGAGCAATGTGAGGCCTCCATGTCCAAAGAGGTGGGTGAAGAGAAGCGGAGGAAAGACACAGGGTGGGGGAGTCAGGGGGCTGAGAAAGGGGCAGGAGGGCTGGGGCAGCGAAGGGGCCTGCCTACCTACCTCGCATCTTGTGCCATGTCACGGTATCTACCATGTGCATCTCACTGGGGGAGGGGGGAGAAAGAAAAAAACAGGCGCCGTTCTTGGCTCCAGGACCCCCGTGGCGTCTGAGCCCACAAAATGGGGAGACCCAGGTGCTTAGAGGATTCTGCCTTCCCGGGCCCTGCACAAGTTCATGAGCAATAATGCTCACAGGCTCCCATCTCCAGGGGGAGCCCACGCCCTCCTTGACTAGTGCAGACTTGTTTAAGGCCAATTCTTCCATTGTCTCTTCTTCGGGAATGTTCCACACCACACTCCCTACTCTGTACCTCCCCATAGGAAAATGGTCCTCCCAGACTCCCTTCCTTCTCCTGGGACCCCTTCATGCCCCACCCCACCCCCAACCATCTTGGGCAACCGCATCAGGACCCTTGGGGACCCACCCACCAACAGCATGACGATGAGGACGCATGCCCGTACCCCATGAGTAGGTAGATGAGGATGGTGACGGAGAGGAAGACGCCGCGATGAGAGGAATGCCGGCAGAGGAACAGCACGAGGTAGCACAGGAGGCTGAGCAGCACGACCCAAACCATGTGCAGCTGGAAGAAGTGGTAGAGGCTGAAGAACCCGCCTGCCACGGTGCTTGCATGCTTCAGGTAGGATGGCAGCCCTTCGGGTGAGAGGGAGAGAGAAAGAGAAAGAGAGAAGAGAGGGAAAGAGGGAAAGAGAGAGAGAGGGCGAGAGAGAGAACAAGAAAGGGAAGGTTGGTGGGCTGGTAGGAAGGGGAGGATGGCCTGGGCATAGGGCACAGCCGGGGCAAAGCCCTAGAGGTGCGGACGTGGTGCGGCTGGTGGGGGGCCCAGAGCAGTGCAGGTGGGGAGCTGCAGAGGGCGCCTGGGCTTCTCTAAAAGACATTTGGGGGAACCATGGGAAAAAGACAACTGTCAGTTTTCATCAGATAGCATTATTGCATTCAGAGGACTTTTCTTAGGGGGTGACAGCTGGGGCTGTGGTCGTGGGGGAGGATGTCCTTGGTCTTGGAGCCACACACTGAAGGATTTGGGGTGCAGTGTTGATGTCAGCAGGTTATTCAAGTGATTTGGGAAGTAGATAGATAGCTAGACAGACAGACAGACAGAAAGAACGAGCTATTGTGACAAGATGTTGACAGTTGGAGAATCTGGTCATGCGTATATGGGTGGTCAGTATACTACTTTTCAACTTTTCAGTAGCTTGGAAATATTTCAAAATAATAGACCTGGGAAAAAATAAAACATTCATTTAAAATGAAATAAAAACAAAGTATAGAACCTTTGACTCTCAGATTTCCAGAAATCGCAGCATCCTGAAGGAACCTCGGGGACTTGAAATCTTATTTGGATACAGGCCTGCTTACAATTGCCGAAACATCCGAGAATCTAGAAATTTCATCCTGCCCTGATTACAGAAATCTAAATTGCCAACATCCTGGAAGCCAAAAATGTGAGAATTGCAGTTTGTCAGAAACTCCCAACACGGTTAGGGCACCTTGGGACTCCATCATCCTGTTATGGAATCTTACACCATGGGAGATGGAGGTATTTCAGGATCCCAAGATCCAAGGACTTCAACTTCTCAGAATCTAAGACTGCAGGAACACTGAAGGGCATGGCCTGCTATGGCAGGATGTGGCTTGGCGTGCTGTGGCAATGGGGTGGCTGCAGAGAGTAGGACGTGGGGTGTTGGAACAGGGCTTGGTGGGATGTGGTAGGGCCAGACATGTTGGGATCTCATTTGGTATGGTTGGACGTGGCAGGGTAAGGTGTGGCTTGGTATGGATGAATGTGGCAGGTGTGGCATGGTCTAGCCTGGTGGCACATGGGGTGGCTGGCACTTACCAAGCCTCCAGAGGAGGCGGCAGGCGAGGCAGATGGCAAGGAGCAGCCAGATCTGATCAAGGCCCTGCTGGGCGGTAGGCAGGAGACAGCCCTGCAGTAGCTGCTGGAAAAATTCCTGGCGGCTGAAGGTAGCCATTGCGGACCCCCGCGGCTGGATGGACAGATGGATAGATCTGCCAAAGACGGAACACGGAGGGAACAGAATGTCCACGAGCAGATCCTGCTCAAGGGCTGAACTTGAGCGCTTAAGATTTCAGTTTGCGGGTGCGGAACCCACAGATGGTGCTGGAGGGTCTGGGGGAAGATGTGAGCGTCAGGTGCATCAGACTGAGCCACCAGCTGTGCGTGGGTGTGTGTGGGGGTGGGGGGTGGTTCTGGATGCACACACACACGCGCGCGCACACACACAGCTGTGACTTGCAGTGAATGCGGGACCTGTGTCTCGGGAACGCTGTGAACAGTCCTGTCCGATGATGATCCCATGGTGTACATTCTAGGCCCCTAGAGCAGATGGGGCTGGGGGTGGGATACGGGGGGGGGCCCTTCCTGGTTTCCAAGGTAGAGTAGCTCTGTGAGGAGGGCACACAGGGGGATTCTGTGACACTTGGGGGCCGTGTGCATCTCTCCTTGTATGGATATGGGGGGTGTCCTGTATCCCCCGCGCTCCCCATCACACCCCCACCCAGCGAGAAGCCGCCAACAAAGCCCGGCCCAGGCCGGGGGACTGCAGGGAAGTGGAGGTGGTGGCAGGGGACACAGCATGGGGGAGTCGGAAAGGTGATGGGGACGGGGTCCCAGGACACTCGCTTCAGGTCCGCGCGGGGAGGCCGGCTAAAGGACGGGAGCCGGGGAGTCGTGTGCGCACACTCCTGGCGCCTTACCTGGCTGGAAGGCAGACGTGCTCTTGGGGGCCTGGGATGCGCCGCCGCCGCTGCCACCGTCGCCGCCTCCTCCGGGCAGCCTCCCCCGCAGGCCGCAAGGCCGGGACCAGCAGCGGCTCCCAGGGCGGCGCGGCGAGCGGGCCCTTTAAATCCCGGGGCGGCCGGGCAGCCGGCTCTGCCAATGGGAAAGCGGGAGCGGGGCGGGGTCCGGGAGGAGGGGAGCGTGAGGAACGAGGGGAGGAGGAGCGGTCGAGTTGAGGGGCGCGGGGCGCGGGAGGACGTCGGCGCGCGCAGCGCTCGCGCCCGCACTTTTCCGGCCTGTTGCCCTTCCAGTCCCCGAATGTCGGTGTCGGGAGGTTTGCTGTCTGCTCCAGAACAAACTTCCGAATGGCCAAATTGTAACTCCTCGGACACCGGGATGGGGAGGATAAGGGGCAAGCCTCCTAGCCTCCAAAGGCTCACCCGAGCACGTCCCCTTCCACACGGTTGCGTCTCCGTTTCACAGATGGGAAAATAAACGGAGGTCTCTCCTTTGCCATCCTTTCAGGGAACTGAAGGAATTTTCAACCCTCCACACCCCAGGGAGGGGCCAGGAACATGTATAGGCAATGATGTGTCACCTAGGACCAAAATTAGGCGCCTACGCTTCCCCTGGGGGATAGCTCTGAGCACTTGGCTTATCTTGAACTGATTTACCGGCTTAATCCCTCAACGGACTCGACCCTGCAATGAAGGTGACCCCGGCAATTAGTGAAGTGTTGCAGTGAGCCAGGAGGAGACTTACAAGGAACATTTAAAGAGGGAGCATTTATAAAGCACTTCCCGTGGCCCCAATGCAGTTTTGCGTTGAGCTCGATCTGCACCAACACTAACGATTTACGCAGCACCTACTGTCTACCCACCCAACCCTGCAGCTTCAGGGCAACTCTACTTTGTTCCTAGCCTGGTAAATGGCCTGTTTTTTCCAAAGGTGCGCTAAGATGTGGAAGGCAGACGCAAACCTAGAAGGAGGTGGACTTACACCCTAACCTGGGGAGCAAAGGAAAACGGGTTCTGATCAGATAAACACCTGCCTGCGTGGCCTGGGCTGCTAAACAAAAGAATGGGATTAGCGGCTCTGTGCAATGCAATGCAAGGGAAATGCCTCGCTTTTTTTTTTTTTTTTAAGATTTATACGTTTATTTGAAAGGCAGACCTCGCTTTTTTAAGACCAATTGCTAACGTAAAGTTAAACGGAGTTTTAGTTTAATATGCGTGTGTTACATATGAAAAATACCGATCTTAGAATATATAATTACACAGGCTAGATACACAAATCCTCGTTCCCTTCCTTAACAGGTCACAGGTTTTATGAATTAGATTTCATTTTAATTCTTCGCGCAGTTTTCAAACACACTCAAGTGGAATCGACCTGGACCAGAAGGAGTTCCCTTAGCTGCACCACCAGGCATTTAAAACTGGGTGATTCAGAGTTGGGCATTTGATCCAGTGGTGAAGCTGCCAGTTGGGACACCTGTGTTCTATGTCAGAGTGCCTGGGTTCCAGTCCTGGCTCCGTTTCAGATTCCAGCTTCCTGCTAATATATGCTGGGAGGCAGCAGATGATGGCTCAAGTAGTTGGGTCCCTGCCACCTGCACAGGAGACCTAGACTGAGTTCCTGGCTCTCACCTTTGACCTGGCCCAATCTTTATCTTTGTGGACCTTTTGGGAGTGAATCAGGACGTGGGAGCTGGATCTGTCTTTCTGCCTCCCCTACCCCCTCCCTCCAAAAACGAAAGAGTTATCTGACGAAACTTAAAAAAAAAAAAAAAAAAAACGACTAGAGGCTGGCATTGTGGCTAAAGTCGCCACCTGCGTCACCGGCATTCTTTATGGGCACTGGTTCCTGTCTCAGCTGCTACACTTCCAATCCAGCTCCCTACTAATGGCCTGGGGAAAGCAATGGAAGATGGTGCAAGTGATTGGGCTCCTGCACCGGTGTGGGAGACCCAGATAAAGCTCCTGGCGTCCCCTTGGCTGAGCCCTGGCTGTTGCAGCCACTTGGAGAGTGAGCCAGCAGATGGAAGACCTCTCTCTCTCTCTCCCTGTCTCTTTAACTCTTCCAAATAAATAAATCCTTTTTTTTTTTTTAAAGAAAAAACCAATTAGAAGATCTTCACTATGTGTGCTCAGCCTTATGAATTTAATTGTTTCTATCTAAGCTTTTGCTGGACTAGTATTTAGATTCTAGGACATAAACAGAACATTTATGAGTTAAGAAGAAACAGACGAACACTACACTAGCCATGGACAGCAGGTATACAAATAGATAATCACAGCCGAAGGTGTCTGAAATGGCCAGTGTGTGTAATATATGAAAAGGTACCCAGTCTCTTTAGTTAACAGGGAAATGCAAAATTAAGACAACAGTGAGACGCTGTTTCACATCTCCCAGATGTCGTGTTTCATATTTTTATACCTGGAGCTTAATAGAGAATGGGGACTCAATATATGTCAAATTTTATAGCCATTATGATCATTCTGGGTTATGGTTTCTGGGAGCATTTTTTGTCTCTCCATATTTTTTTTAAAAGATTTATTTTATTTATTTGAAAGACAGAGTTACAGAGAGAGGTAGATACAGAGAGAGAGGTCTTCCATCCGATGGTTCACTCCCTAAATGGCCACAACAGCCAGAGCTGTGCCGATCTGAAGCCAGGAGCCAGGTGCTTCTTCCGGATCTCCCACACGGGTGCAGGGGCCCAAGGACTTGGGCCATCTTCTACTGCTTTCCCAGGCCATAATAGCAGAGAGCTGGATCGGAAGTGGAGCAGCCAGGTCTTGAACTGACACCCATATGGGATGCCGGCGCTCCAAGCCAGGACTTTAACCCGCTGCACCACAGTGCCGGCCCCTGTCTCTCCTAAATGCAAATTAAAGCAATGAGATGTCATATGTCACTTATGGGACTGGCAACAAAAAGTGCTGAGCCTCTTTCTTTCTCTCTCTCTCTCTCTCTCTCTCTCTCTATCACACACACACACACACACACACACACACACACATATATATACAAAGCTTTCAAAATGCAATTAAAAGATAATGCAAATTTCCCACGAGTTCTTTCAACCCTCTCCAGCATACAGTTTCACATACATACGAATTTTTTTTCTTTTGAATAACTTGATAGTGGCTACGGACATGATGTGCTTTGAGCTAAGCCCCGGGCTGTGAATTTTCTAAGAACACAGACATTTTCTTACAATCCTACCGGCACAGCATGAGGGTTCCAATTTCTTCATTTCCTCCCTCGTGTGTGTTAGCCACTTCTTCACCGCAGCCAGCCCTGTGTGCGTGTCAGCGGTGCTCTTCTGCAGGTAGAGTAAAGCCTAAGTCAGGAGGTACCCTGTGCTATCAGTTCTTTTCCATCTCTTTCCATCTAAAACGAAGTCTCAGTTTTCCCTTAACTTTCATGATCTTGATTTTTTTTTTTAAAGCGCAGGCCTGTTCTTTGGAAGAATGCCCTTCACTTTGGGCTTGTCTGATGTCTCCTTCTGATTAGGGTTGTATTGTGCATTCTTGGCAGGAATTCCACAGAAGTGATACTGTGCATTTCTCACGTATCCAGAGAGGCAAAGAGATTGCTTGGACCTCCACATTGACTATTTTCCCCTTTAAAATCATATGTATCTTGTAGAGAGATAGGAGGGTATTTTGCAAAGTTTGTGGAAACATGGAATTAAAAGAGAAGTTTACTTTGTTGCAAAAAAAAAATTCGAGGGGCTGGTGCTGTGGCATAGTAGGTTAAGCTACTGTTTGCGGTGCCAGCTGCTCCACTTCCGATCCAGCTCTCTGCTAATGCACTTGGGAAACCAATGGAAGATGGTGCAAGAGCCTGGACCCTTGCCAACCACGTGGGAGATCCAGAAGAAGCTCCAAGCTCCTGGCTTTGGCATGGCACAGTGCTGGCTGTTGTGGCCTTTTGGGGAGTGAGCCAGCAGGTAGGTGGATAATCTCTCTCTCTCTGTCTCTCTGTCTTTCTCTCTAACTATGCCTTTCAAATAAATAATAAATAAATATTTTAAAAATTAAAAAATAAAACTTTTGAAATCCATGTACATTATTGGTCTTCAAAATGCCCATGGAAAAGGCAAACTATGAAAAAACTGTGCGTGGATTTCAAATTTTTGCACCAAAATAAACGTTTTATTTGCGTTTGTCTATGAACTTTTTGAACTATTTCCATACTTTGAGACTGTGCAACTCTGTTTTCTTCTCAAACTTTCACTCACAGGTTAGCATGCAATGGTAGTTCTTTCTTTCTTTCTTTCTTTTTAAAGATTTATTTATTTGAAAGACAGAGTTACAGAGAGAGAGTTAGAGACAAATAGAGGGTCTTCCATCCACTGATTCACTCCCCAGATGGCCGCAACGGCCGGAGCTGCGCCAATCCGAAGCCAGGAGCTTCTTCCAGGTCTCCCACGTGGGTGCAGAGGACCAAGGACTTGGGCCATCTTCTACTGCTTTCCCAGGCCATAGCGGAGAGCTGGATCAGAAGTGGAGCAGCCAGGACTAGAACCGGTGCCCATATGGGATGCTGGCACTGCAGGCCAGGGCTTTAACCCGCTGCACCACAGCGCTGGCCCCAGTGATTCTTTTTTTTTTTTTAATATTTATTTATTTGAAATGCAGAGTTACAGAGAGAGAGAGAGAGAGAGAGAGAGCGAGCTTTCATCTGCTGTTTCACTCCTCAAATGGTTGCAACAGCCGGAGTGGGCCAGGCCAAAGCCAGGAGTCTGGAACTCCATACGGGTCTCCCGCATGGGTGGCAGGCATCCAAGGACTTGGACCATCTTCTGTTGCTTTCCCAGGCCCATTAGCAGGGAGCCAGACAGGGAGTGGAGCAGCCAGGGATCCAACTGGTGTCCATATACGATGCTGGTGTCACAGGCAGCGGCTTAATACCCTGTACCACAATGCTGTCCCCTCCATTGGTGATTCTTGTCTGAAGCAATTACTACTCTTCTCGAAGTCAAATAACAGTATATATATATATATATATATTTTTTTTTTTTAACAGGCAGAGTGGACAGTGAGAGAGAGAGACAGAGAGAAAGGTCTTCCTTTGCCGTTGGTTCACCCTCCAATGGCCGCCGCGGCTGGTGCGCTGCGGCTGGCGCACCGCGCTGATCTGATGGCAGGAGCCAGGAGCCAGGTGCTTTTCCTGGTCTCCCATGGCACAGCTGTTGTACCATATTCTATCCCTCTTAATAGTGACTTTCTCCCATCCTTGTTAATTATAAGAGGGGCAACCGGGACAGAACAAGGGGCCAGTGCTGTGGTGCAGCAGGTTAATGCCCTGGCCTGAAGCGCTGGCATCCCATACAGGCGCCAGTTCAAGAGCCAGCTGCTCCACTTCTGATCTAGCTCCCTGCTGTGGCCTGGGAAAGCAGTGG